CTTGGGATCGGCAGCGTCTACCCACCCACAGTAAGGGCACTTCTGGTGGCAGGAGAGTACCCAAAATTCCAGCACCTTGTAGGGAAACATGCCAGACACTCTCAGGAAACTAATTACTGCCCATACAAGGCAAATTATTTGCGCAAAAACCCTATTTTTGTAAAAGGCATGTGACGTGAGAAACCTCTGGGCGTACTCAACACAAACATGTCATGTGATATGTGAAACACTGAGCAGGTCAATATGCATGTTAAGGCCTTGAGTGAGTGTGTGAGTGTGAATGAGCATGGTGTGTGGGTGTGAGAGCATGTGGGTGTTTATTTATTTATTTATTTATTTGCATATTTTTATTTCTTTGTCTGTTTGTTTATTTGTATATGTTTCTATTGTATATTTATTTATTTATTTATTTATTTATTTGTGTATTATTTATTTAATTACTCTGTACCTGGATGATTATGAGACGATACTAGTGAAATTTTAATTGTTCTAATTCTTCATATTTTTTCCAACAGATTCAGGAACTAGCATCTGCCTTTTTGAACAACTATTTGTTTGTTGTTGTTGGAACTGTTGGAGCAGCAAACACTGATGTCAAACAAGAGGTTTTGTGTGTGCCCAAGTTTGAGAAGAAGGCAAAGTTGGTAGAGATGTGTGAAGAAATTTTAATCAGTGCTGGTAAGACATCAATAAGTATTGAAGAAAATGCATACAGTAAAACCTTATATTTGGTAATTGTTATTGACAAAAAGTCACCAATAGTGAAACTTAAGGATTAAATCTTATTGGTTGAAGGATTAAATCTTATTGGTTTGTTTCATTGCATACCTTGTAAACTTCTTTCCCTTGTGATTTCCATTTCACTTTTATGTTATCTCTTTCTCTTGTAATACAATCACCCTTTCATTTCACTTCAGCATTTATCCATATTAGCATCTGTCATTAGCTGGGCATTAATGATGAATGTTGACACTGTTTTCTGTCGGGTAGAAATTCACTTTTAACAGTAATATGGTTGCCAGATGTGAATCAGCCAAATATACCATGCCAAAAGTAAGACCTACTTGCATTATGATATTTGAAGTATTTTCAACCCATTCATATAGGAGGATATCCAATCGCTTAACCCATTCACGCCGGGTACATTTTGTAGCCAAAAATAAAATGTTCCGGGCAGCTACAAAATCGGCGGGCGGAGCTTCCCTGGAGTCTGTCCGCCCGCCGGCCACGGCCCGCTGATGCGTCGGAGCACAGCCCCGATAGAGCGTCACACTGGCGGGACGCCTGACATTGTTTATTTTTTCGGGTGTCTCATATATGGGACACCTGTCGCGATTGGGTTAAAAGTGAATCAAGCCCATGGATACTTTACTGGTGGAAAGTATCCATGCCACATGTAGTCAGGCTTACTCTGCTCTGTGTGCCAAATAGTTTTTCTCTGGTTTAACCATGACTTGTTATTGAGAAGACATGGCTTCTCAAATATAGGCAGAAGTTCTGTATTTAGCCTCAGTTCTATTGAAATCATGTATGTCACAACTAAAGAAAACAAGAGTAATTTTGTTTTCAACACTTAGAATTACACTGTAAGATGCCTTGTGCATGTTTTGTTATGGCATCTGGAAATCTCATGAATAGATTAATAATTGCCAATGTCTGTAAAGATTGTTTAGTAAAAAAAATTCCCAGTAAGAACCATACAGTGTATTTTTCCTTACAGATGATGAGAAGATCTTGGTATTTGTTGAACAAAAGCGAGTAGCTGATTTTGTTGGTACTTACCTCTGTGAAAAGAAATTCCGGGCCACCACTATGCATGGGGATCGTTACCAAGCACAGCGTGAACAAGCATTATCAGAATTCAGGACTGGTGTTCACAATATCCTGGTAGCTACAGCTGTTGCAGCTCGTGGTCTTGGTAAGTTTGTACTTTTAGGGTTATAAATAAGCATGATGATGTTGATACTACTGAATACACAAAAAGTTCAGTACTTGATAGTACTTTGGATGTATGTAGTTTCGATTAAAGGTAATCATATTAGAAATAGATGATTGATAGCAATATAGCTAAAGGTTTTCACTAACATATTGTATTTGTTTGTCAAAAATTCAAGGTTCATTTCAAATTCAATATGAGCTGTTAATTAATATAATCGTGTACTCTCGGGTAAAGAACCAAATGTTGACAAGTTTTGTAGCAATGAATTAAGACAAAGATTGTTTTTTTCTTTTGGACATCAAAGGATATGTACTAACATATCCATAATTGTTTCAGATATCAAGGGGATTGGTGTGGTAGTCAATTATGATTTACCAAAGGACATTGATGAATATGTACACCGCATTGGCCGGACTGGACGTCTTGGGAATCGAGGCTTGTCCATCAGTTTCTATGATGATGAAACTGATGCTTGCTTAACAAAGGACTTGGTGAAGGTTCTGAGTGAGGTAAGAGGCAGAAGATATAGGTAGATGTGGGTTTAACTCATTTGACCTGGATGCTTCACTTCCATCATTTGGCCCAGAATATAGGCATTAGGCTTACATGAATGGACATTGCTGGGTGTGCAACTCATGGCTGGACACAAACAAACACTCCATCCCTCCCCTTTGTAGGTGATGTGTCTTTTTTTTGGCATAAGTATTAGCTTTTTTGCCATTTACCAGTGTCCATACTTGTCATTTGATTTGCTTTATCTATATGACAGTAGACTGTTTTCCTTACACAGACTCTGTATCATCTCTCTAGGTAGTCTGTTTTCCTTACACAGACTTTGTATCATCTCTCTAGGTAGTCTGTTTTCCTTACACAGACTCTGTATCATCTCTCTAGGTAGTCTGTTTTCCTTACACAGACTCTGTATCATCTCTCTAGGTAGTCTATAACTCAGTACAAGAATAATAACAAAAAGTAATATTTCATTGTCATTTTTTCATTTTTTCCTCATTGCTGATGGGAGTTGGGTTGGGGGCAAATTGAGTTATTGGTCCAGGCGTATTGTTACCCTTTGACTGTCAGACTATTGGACTATTTCAGTGTAGCAATAAGGGGTGACCTTGGATATTTGGGAAAATGGTGCATTCCCATTGGCAATGCTTGGTCAAATGTTTATGCACAGAGATGGCTTTGCCAATGCTTATCCACAAATGAGTCAATTAGTAGATCTTGTGACATCACTTTTCCTTGAAAAAGCAAGATTTTTTTTTTTTTACTAATGCTATCACTATTGACACTTTTTACTTATGTTATAAACATTATAATTACTATATTGTTATTGATATTACTAACAGCTCTATGAAATACTAGAAAATATTGAAAATCAAGGAAAAGGCTAAACGGGAGACGGGTAGGTAATGTAATTGGCTCCTTGGTGACTTAGTCCTTGTGGAGCCATCTATGTGTAAAAATAATTTCTAAATTCAACACACACAATGGAGCATGGCATGTACGTACATGCCATGCGTGGTGACACGGGGTTAACCCATTGGATCTGTTGTGTCACGGAAATTATGTTGCCGAAAATCCTCTAAGTGGGTTACTTCACATAAAACTGGCTAAAAATGATTTTTTCTTTTCGTTTTTCTTTTTCTTTTTCTTTCTCCTGTAAAGAAGCTGCACCACATAGTCACAGTGGGCAGGAATAGGATCCTTAGCTGGAAATAGTGTCCTCCTTAGAATTGGTGCTCTTTCAGTCTTAACATATGGTAGATTTTACTCTCATTTGCTGATGGTAATGATTTATGAGCCCCTTCCAAATTGCCCACTAAAGGCACAGCTTAAGTGGCCTTGTGTATGCGCAAGTCTCGCTGTGAGCTTTTGTATCCCGGGCTTTACAGGATGCAAATAACAACTTCGCTCTGATTCATATAAAGAAATTATCAGTATCCTTAATTATAAAGTCAAGAAAAGTTGTACTAGAAAATTTTTATGAAATAACTATTTTCAGCATACGACTAATGCTGATTTTAAATCAGTCTTGAAACATGGAAGGCTTTTTTTGGTGCAGTGCAGCAACAGTGTTCCTTTTAGAAAAAGTGAAAGGTAATTGTTTTGGAATATAAAGCATCCACAAACAGTTGGCTGTCCTTCAATTCCAACACGTCACCCATAAACATTTTGGTTTCCTAAGCAAAAGAGGAAGAAGTCCTTGTGCTCCCATGTTGCTCCAATGAGAAGTACTGGGTTACTCACCTGTGTTTATCAGTGAGAGGCATGTGCTGTCTGGTATAGTGGTAATTTTTGTAGTTGAGACGTTACATCTGGCTGGGAACTCTGACACATCAGATCCAACATGGAGAGAAGGCTAGTTGAACCACATCATAAGTTTAATCACCCTATTTTGTACTCGGAGCTCATGCTCAGAATACGTCGCGGCCAGCCCCGGGCACCAATTTTATAGTCACTGGGAAAATTTTATTTTTGGCTCCAAAATATACCGGCGTTAGTGGGTTAACAAAAACAAACGTGTTTTTTCCTTGATTTTTTTTTGTTTTGATTTCTGTGTAGGTAAATGTACTGTTACTAATGGTACTTATTATTTAACAGGCCAATCAAACTATCCCAGACTGGCTGACACAAAAGGCAAATGCAAGTGGCCATGCCCAAACTTACCATGGCAGTGGTCTGTTTGCATCCTCTGATATAAGGTCAAAGGTGAGTTAATAAGGAGCTAGTCTTTGTTGTATTGCACACACACACACTCACACTCTCTCCTCTCTCTCTCTCTCTCTCTCTCCTCTCTCTCTCTCTCTCTCTCTCTCTCTCTCTCTCTCTCTCTCTCTCTCTCTCTCTCTCTCTCTCTCGCTCTCTCGCTCTCTCTCTCTCTCTCTCTCTCTTGCTTTTTCTGTCTCTGTCACTCTCTCTCCTCTCTCTTTCTCTCTCTCTCCTCTCTCTTCCTCTCTTTCTCCTCTCTCTTTTCTCTTCTTTCTCTCTCTTTCTCTCTCTTTCTCTCTCTTTTCCTCTTCTCTCTTTTCTCTCTCTTCCTCTTCC